TTTTGTTATGATATGTGTTGCAGTTTACATCTTGTACCAAGGATGCTAAAGATTAAAAATAACGTGAGAATAAACACACCTGATCCTAGTTATCGATCAAACTGCTGACAAAGTTTTATTTGTGTCACAGTTGAATATTTATCCAACACGATCCATCATTTGAATAGGAATGACTTTTTTTAAAATCCAAACTCGGAAAAAAATTAGTTCAATATGTTGGCAGAGAAAAAAGGACACTAAACAACATTTATTTGAGATTATTTAATTCCTAAGTACACTAAAATTATTTATAAAATACCGACATAAAAATTCAGTATAAACATTTGTCTTAACACTGTAATCTTTCAATCGAGAAGTGAAAATTACTCAAAAATTAAATTTTTATCAATTAATTAATCATTTTATGTAAGGTCTTAGTTGAAATGAAAAAGTTAATGTCACGAGCGGGATTCGAACCTACGACCTTCGGCTAAATACGCCGCTGCTCTACCACTTGAGCTATCGTGACCTCGATCCCCACGGACACCAAATTCCCATCTCAATCACCTTTTCGAATTTTCCCTCCTTTTTTCCATTTTTCAATTTGGTGGAAGTTGGTGTCCGAGTGGATCGAGGTCACGATAGCTCAAGTGGTAGAGCAGCGGAGTAGGGCACCGAAGATCGTGGGTTCGAATCCCTCTCGTGACAGTAACTTTTTCATTTCAACCAATATCTTACATAAAATGATTAATTAATTGAAAGAAGTTATTTGGTCAATCGGATATCAATATAACGGCTTAAATATTTATATTATTCTGTAAAATCGACGTTTTTATATTTTACGCCTCAAAATCCGACGACGAACGAAGATTGGAAGACCAGATATCAAATCTGTTCAACTATCGTGCAATTCAGCCACACTTGAAATACACAACTTTTTGCAGTTTGAACAATTTTATGTTTGTTCAACTTTTTCTGTGTATGTTTGACGAAGCTAGAATCGAATTTTCTTCTATTTATTCACTCTAGCGTGTTGGACACGGCGGAAATATGTTAATAATATATTAAAGCCTAATTTCCCTCCCATGGCACATTATACCAGGCTAAATATATCGATAGAATGTTAAATATGCATAAACCCCCGATTTATACACACCAGCAAGTTGAAAATGTACGAAAATTTTGAAATATAAAACAGTTATTGCACTAAACTGAAATTGATTCACTTTACAATGTTGAACGTTGTTGTTGTTTTTAATATTTCTTCAAAGTCGATTACATACACATTTGAGGAACAAGTATACCATGGGGATAAATTAAATAAAGTAGAGATTTACTATTTAGAAACAGCGCAATATTCCTTAATGTTAGCTATTGATTATAGTAAATTTTAATAATATATATCTAGGCTGGGTATATATTATTAGTCATTATCGAAGGACACAAAATAATACTCCTTGCTTTTGCTGATGACCTTGTTTTCTTTAGGTCGAAGACCCGAAATTGTTTGGTTAGGGATGGTCTATGAACCATCTCTAATCATTGTTACAATTAATTAATTAAGGTTTTTAGTTGAGATAAAAAAGTCAGTGTCGCGAGCGAGATTCGAACCCACGATCTTCGGCTTGATACGCCGCTGCTCTACCACTTGAGCTATCTTGACTTCGATCCTATCTCAACTAAAAACCTTAATACCTTAAGAAAGATATTAATTGGTCAAACGGACCACGAAACTAGTCAATTTAATAAGTTTAAATGAAGTATACCTTCACTAAAGCTCTCCGTGACCGTTTCATTTGTCGCCGAGAATCGAATAGATTAAACGACATTTGAAAAATTGCAAAATGGAGGGAAAATTCAAAAGGTGGGATTGAGATGGGAAGTTAGTGTCCGAGTGGTTCGAATCCCGCTCATGACACTGACTTTTTTTATCTCAACTAAAAACCTTAATTAATTGAAAGATATTAATTGGTCAAGCGGGCCATGAAACTAGTGAACTTAATAAAAAGGATGTTTTTATATAAACTAATGTCTATAAATATCTAGTTTTCAACAATTCAAAGCCATATGCGATGAGGAAATTCTCAGAATTACGACAATTATTAAATTTATAGCTAATCGATATTTGTTTAGTGGTCATAATTGACCATATTAATTATTCCAATTAATTATTATCGTGACTTTGATCCCCTCGGATACCAACTTTCCATCTCAAAAACCTTAGATAAAAAGAATGTTTAATTGGAATAATTAATATGGTCTGTTATGACCGCTAAACAAATATGGATTAATTTAATAATTAAAAGAAGTAATTACTTCACTCCGTGGCCACTTCATAAGTCGCTGAGAATCGAATCCTGATTACACGACATTTGAAAATTGCAAAAAGCGGGAAAATTCGAATAGTTGCAAGTTGAGATGGGAAGTTGGTGTCCGAAGGATCGAAGTCATGATAGCTCAAGAGGTAGAGGAACGGCGTCTTGTGCCGAAGGTCGTGGGTTCGAATCCCGCTCGTGACACTAATTTTTCATCACAACCAAAAACCTTACATAAAAAGAATAATTAGTATAGCTAATATTAACAAGATAAAACTTTAATGTTTAATATTTCAAATAATATCGCTACGATTTAATTAGTCTCATAGTAATTGTGGACCAACTACAACCAATAAAGCACTACATTTAAAGAAATAATTTGTTATAACTGACAATGAGTGTGGTAGTGAGAAATGTGTGAAGAGAACTATACTGTTTAAGTATTAAAATTTGGGACTTAATAATTTTTTTTATTACTAATTAAAGGCCAAACATTGCTAATGAGGTTTTTCTGAACATATATTAAAGAAAAGTGTGTACCATTCGGTGTAAATTTTTACAGATTTGGACCCGCCTTAAAACGATCTTCTTTATAATGTGAAGTATTTAGTGACCGTTAATTAATGATTATTTGGAGATCGTGAGATGCCGTCTTGCGTGATGTAGGTTTAGAGAAACATTTTCTTTATCGTGCCAACGTTTCGATCTTCAAGGCCTGGGATTCACAAACATTGTTTGGATTATAACATACATGTAAGACGTGAAAACGAATTTATACAATGATGAACGCAATGTAGAAATTTTAGGTTTATTCAAAGTTTTTGTACTCACTAAAAGTGTGCTTTCTATTTAGATGTGTCACGGTTGTGTGTCGTGTTGCGAGGGTTAGTGTTTAGTAAGATAAGATTTAAATGTTTTTTGTTTATATGTTTGATTTTGAAGGAGTGGGGAAGGAAGTAGTGATAGAAATTCATTTTTCTACGAGGATTCGAATTCTTTTTGAGGTGAAAGGAACCGACAATGGGAAAAAATGGCAATAGATCGTCTTTCGGGCTTAGGCATCTTGTCAGGATTATTATAGACGGGATTATTAGGGAAAGGAAGGATACATTTTTGGGGGCTGTGTAGAAATAGTTTGATGTGTGGTGTAATGATTGTTTTATATTTTGTGTGTTACATTGATATGGAATTTGTTTCATGATATTAGCCTAACTGCGGCTGAGTTTACATGTGTCTGTTTTGTAATTGATGCTGTGTTTATCTCTGTTGATGTAAACCATTTCTAAAAAGTTATGTTTATGTTTGATTTGTTCTGTGTGTAATATTTTTGGATTGTTGAAGTCAAAATTGTGTTTGTGTTCAAAATGGTGGGTAGCGAGTGCTGTAGGATTTTGCTTGGGTTTTTGCAATCACAGATATGTTGCTTTACTCTCTTATCCAAATATTGGGATGTAAGACCGATGTAAGTTGCCGGACAGTTTAAACAATTGATTTTGTAAATTACATCAGACTTATTTGTTATTGGTGTGGGATCTCCAATTTTGGAAAAATGTGTGTTAATTGTTTTATAGTTTTTGAAGGTTTTTAAAAGTGTTTCTTTCTTTATTTTTTTTACGAGGGTTCGCAACAGCAGAGGTTATAACAACCCTCGGGGTGCCGGTGTTTTTGAAAAAAAGCCCATTTGTAAGTATGTCGAGTTCGAATGCAGGGCCGCTGGATTCGAACCCGGGACCTTTACCTTACAGTGATGAGCGCCGTTTCAACGCCTAAACCGTTGCGGCCACGGACGCCCCCTTAAAGTGTTTAATTTGTGTGATAGGCCGTGAACGAATGGACTGGATATGTATGTTGGTATGTTGGTTTGAGAGAATTGAGGTAGTATTATTATTAGTGATATATATTGTGTTAGTATTGAATTGTAGCTGTTGATTATGTGTTTAGGGTAGTGATTGTTATGTAGGATATGATATATCTTTATGTCGTGTGGTGTAAAGATTCATGGCACAGAGTAATAATTCTGTGATGTAGCCCTTTGGCCGTGTTTATTACTGTATGAAGGGGATGGTGTGATGTAAAGTCCTTATTTCCTTCCCCACTCCTTCAAAATCAAAGATGTATAAATACATAACACTCGCAAGTCGCAACACGACACACAACCGTACCACATCTACACAGAAAACACACTTTGAGTGAGTACAAATACTTCGAATAAACCTAAAATTTCTATATTGCGTACATCATTGTATAAAGTCATTTTCACATCTTACATGTATTTGTAAAATCCAAACAGTGTTTGTAAATCTTACGGCCTAAAGATGATCAAAATAAAGATCGAAAAATTGGCACGATAAAAAAAATGTTTTTCTAAAACTACATCATACAAGACTTCATCTCACGATCTCATACAATATCGCTACGGTTGATGTTTGTTGTTGTGTGTTGAGTGTGTTAGGTGGGCGGGGCATGGCGGGTGTGTTGCGCTACGGCGAGGCCGGGGGCCGAATCAAGGTCGCGGTGGCTCATTGATGACCGTCCCGCCCCTGGATCGATACTCAGCTTTGGGCCGTACGTCACGGTGACGTCATCCCGGCCCACACGCTCCCATCACGTGAACAGGGGCATGGCGGTCACACGGCGATCACGTGAACAGGCCGTCCACGGTTGGGCCGTTCGAGCCGAGCCCCCGGCGCCCGACTCGCCTCCGACACTTCCCGACTTGGTCTCGCCGATCAGCCCTCCATTCGTCCGCTGCGTCTCGCTTGCTACAGTCATCAAACCTTTGCAAATAAACGTAAACAACATCTGTAAAAGTGTTACGGGGACTTCTTAAAGGATCCAAACGACCCACGGAACATCTTCATTTATCCTGTTTATAATTAAACAACAAAAATAAACAAACGACAAAGGTGAGCTTATTTCTTAACTAGACCAACTAATAAACTTAAAATTGAAATTTATAAGCAAATTCTCTCAATCTAGCTTCTTTGCACAAAAAAATCCTCAAAATATGTTTAAATGACCAAATCAGCCAACCTTGCCAAATTTGGTAAAACTTTTAAAAACAAAAAAGAAAAATTGTCAAAAGGCCTTTATCAAGTAATAAATAAGTGGAGGATCTAAAGTGCAGACAACCACAAAAGAAACACACAATATATTAACATATTAATTATTGCATGCATATTTGTTCTTTTGGCCTGTTTTACTAATAAAATTAAATTTAAATAAATTTTAGTAATTATTAAATTTAGTAAATTTTAGTTGTAAAGGGGGAGGGAATAAATTGGCTAACTTTTAAATTTATTTTTTATCGATTACTTTCAACTACGATTGAATAAAAGAGGTGATAAAAGATGAAACTTGTTTTGGGTTTTTTTTTTTACGTTGGAATACATTATACATACAGCACGTGCTATTGGCAAACATTGCATTAAAGCGTGATCGTAAGGGCCGAGTGTACTTCGTCATAGATTCATAATTACTTTCAGGATTTGCATTTATCCCAGTTATTTACATTTTGGAAAATTGAATTTTTTTCAATACGCCTTTTTTTTACATTGTAATATATTACACATATCAAACATGCTACATTGAAAACTGTGTAATTACATTTTTAAAATTATTTCCTCTTCGTCCTCCCGGGCAAGAGGTTAAACTGCGTCCAATACCCCTCCTGTACCTGGTGGCCTTCCGTAACACTTTATCCCCTTACTAACCTCATTACCTAACCTTCCACTCCTATAATAACCCCTTCCCCAACACTAACCTCCTCCCTGTTCCTTCTCCCGGCGTCCCAGGCTTTAAGGAGGGGGAGGTGTGCCGGTTCACCTATAGTGGCAGCCCCACTAATCGGCTAGGGCCAGGGTGGGTAGCTTCCCCCTGGCCTAAAACAAACAAGCTCCGAAAAATACAAAAAAAAACGCCGTATATNGACCTCAGCTGTTTGTCGGCCCATAAACCTTCCACTTTATATATATTTCCTCTTCGTAGTGGCTGGAATTTTGGATATTTATTTATGTATTTATTTGTTAAGTTAAAATACATGGTACATATTACACATTCTATTGACATACATTAAATAATGTGTAATTATATTTTAAAAATTATTTCTTAATGCTCGTAAGAAACGTATGTATAATATATTCCCCGTAAGGACCAATTGTGATTTTTTTTTTTCAACTCGTTCCATTGTATAAGTGGCTGGAATTTTGGATATTTATTTGTGTCTTTATTTTTTAAATTGGAATACATTGTACATATTACACATTCTATTGACATACATTAAATAATGTGTAATTATATTTTGAAAATTATTTCTAAATGCTCGTAAGAATCATATGTATAATGTATTCACCGAAAGGAACAATTGTGATTTTTTTTCTTTTTTTCAACTCGTTACATTGTATAATTGGCTGGAATTTTGGATATTTATTTGTGTATTTATTTTTTAAATTGGAATGCATTGTACATATTATACATTCTATTGACGTACATTAAATAATGTGTAATTACATTTTGAAAATTATTTCGTATTCTTCGTAAGAAACGCGGGGACCATAAGGGCCAATAGTGTTTTTTTACTGTTTATTTTCACATTTGAATACATTGTACATACTACACATTCTATAGACATACATCAATTGACATACATTAAATACTGCGTAATTAATTATACCTTTAAAAATTATTTTCTATTCGTCAGAAACGAGTAAGGATTGTGATTCTTCGTGTTATTTATTTTTTTAAATTTGTAATATTGGATAAGTGACACGAATTTAGGGTTTTCTTCAAACATCTTTTTTTTATATACATTGGAATACATTATACATACACATACCAGGTCGGCATAGATTGAATAAAGTGTAATTATGTCTTGAAAATTCTTTGCTATTCGTCGTAAGAAACGCGGACCGTAAGGGCCCACCAATTGTGATTCGTCGTAAGTTTTAAAATTCGTATTTTTATTTGCCAATTTGTTACATTGAATAAATAGCACGAATTCGGGGATTTCAGAAATTTATTTTTCTTTCTTTTTTTTTACACTGGAATAGTTTATACATAAACATGTTAGTGTTGCAAGTATTTTTTTCCATTCTTCGTTAGAATCACAGACCGTAAGGGGCATTGGTCGTAATTTTTTCCAAGATTGGAATTTTTTATACATTTTTTATCCGAATTTATCAACTTGCTAGAGTGGATAAATCGTTAAAAATTTGGTTTTACTTGTTTATTTATTTATTTGTATGTAACATGCGTTTAACATCCATGTTTTGATTATTTTTAAGTTTTTGTTTTCAACGGAGAAGGAACCACTTGAAGTCACGATAGCTCAAATGGTCAGAGCAGCGGCTAATTGACCAGAACGTAGTGGGTTCGAAATCCGCTTGTGGCACTAACTTTTTCATTTCAACCAAGACCTTACATAAAAAGAATAATTAATTGAAAGAAGTAATGTGGTCAATCATAATGGATTCATAGAAGGAAATTCAATAAATTATTAATTGAATAAAAGAATAACACGTAGATTTGTTTTTAAAATTGACCCCAAAAAATATAAATTTTAACGTTCATTCAGCTTACCAAACTATCTGACAAAAGATATTTCAAAAGCAACAAATAGCCAAACACTGTCAAGTATACAAGATAAAAAAAGCTTTATTATATTATGCATTAATTAAATTAATTGATATAAGTTGACCTAGTGGAACATTAAAATGGTCGGTTATTAATCGCAGAAAAGTGTAAAAATGATCCTTTTTTCTGCTATGTTTTCATTTTAACGTGCTGAACCAGCCGAAAAATATCTCATGCTTTTTTCCAAATGCTATTTAATTTTTCCAGTTCTTTATTTAATTTTTCACATATCATTAACCATGCATAAATAATAATTATATAGCGATGACAATTTTAACGAAACGAATATGAAAAACAGTAAAAAAAGGCATACAGTTTAATAAATAAACGTGGGAAGTGAATATATTCAAATATATATTTTTTAAATAAAAATTGTAATCTTTAAAAACAATTTCGTGTTTTGCAACAGATTCTTTGCAAAAACTAAGCCTGTTTCGTGCATTTTGCGTTAAAATTTATTGCTCCGCTTTGAAAATTTTCCACGTATTGAACAGTCGACTGAATTTTCCCGGTTGAAAAACTCGTGCAAATTTCGTCACACCCATGCTAAAAGGAACGGAAAGGAACCCAAATAACAGGGGCTGCATGATAACTGCGCGTGGCGATCACGTGAAAGCTTTCCCCTCCCAAAAGGCCTTCTCTTTCTATTCCTGGCTCTCTTCTCAGCTCTCCCATTATCTCCCGAAAGGCTCTCCTAGTGAGATACCGAGCCACGAGGAACAACAATTGACGACTATCGTTCTTTTCCAATTTTCCACGGGAAACTCGAAGACTGTGACCTCAAAGATGCCTTGTATCGCTACGGTCGGGCCATTCATAAAACGAAGCCTTTTAAGCGAAACGTGCCAGTACAAGGGCGGCGTTTATTTAATTGAACTGGATTTATTAATAAAGATTGACTAAATCTTCATTGTAACACGTATACATTTATAATCAATCACAAATTATCAACGCAAATCGAACAAGCCATTCTTAAAACTAAGAGTTAATTGCAACGAGCGAGAACAAGGACGGCGTATGTCCAGATTATCAGTGTCATTATATTTTATAGTTTTTTACATGTTTCTGTAGTATTAAGATATGTCTTAATGGTTATTCGGAAAATCACTCGATTGACTCACATTACAGAACATCATTGTATTACTATTTATGTTTTGTACGAAGTATGTAATAACAAGGATTTTAATCATATAAATTGTCTGGGAGAAACATAAAAACTATGACCTCCAAGCTACAGGGTATCACTATGGTCAGGATTTTCTTGTTATGGATAATGTGAAATGAATGAGCTCGGATGGTTTCTTCTTTTACTTAGCTTTTATATTTATAATGATACATTAATATTATGTAATAACAAAGAAACAAATGTTTTAATATATTATTTTGTGTCGAGACATCAAAAGACAGTGATCTTAAAGCTGGCGGATCCCGTAGCCTAGTTAGCCCTTCGGTCAGGCCCTTCTTGAAACTATGGCTAATGTGTAAAAAATGACCACGGACGTTTGTCTCATTTACTTAGGTTGTACGTCTATTCAGATGTATCAACATTAGTTCATAATGATAACAAGCAATCAGAAAGTATTTTAAAATTTTATTTTGTCTCGGGGAACCAAAAGACTGTGGTTTCAAAAAACTAGCGTATCGCTACGATTAGGTCTTTGTTAAAACTACGGCTGATGTGAAAAAAGGTGCTTCCTTAGAGATACATATTAACAATATGTAATTCCAATGAATCTACATTTTAATTTTAGTAATTTTATTTTTTTATTATGTCGAAAAATCAAAAGACTGGTCTGAAAACCTGCCTTGTCTCTCTGCGATCAAGATATACATACATACGGAGAGGTCTATGGTGCAAAGAAGACCAACTTTCCACATTTTTCAAATAGTTTAAATTGAATCTTTATTAAGCTATATAAAGAGTATTTAATAACAAGATACCAACAAGTGTTTTTAATTTTCTTTGGAAACCAGATTGTTCACCTCATACTAATGGGAATATGGAGAGATGGTAACTTTATCAGGATATGTAAAAAAATACCAATGAATCATAACATGTTTTTAACTTTTAAAATTAAAGAACTTATTTAACTTTAAATTTAACTAAGAAAGAAACCAAAAGTCTGTTGGTACCAAAGCTACCTGTCTCGAAAAGGAAGTCGCAAAGAGCGAAAAAGGAATAATTTTTAAATTTTTTGTATGTTTAAACTTAGTGACCTCAAAACTGCTTTTTCTCGCCTCGGCCAGGCCGCCATTCATAATATCTTTATATTTAACAAGCCAACAAGGACGATCCTGGCTTGTTTACACACACACACACACACACACACACACACACACACACACACACACACACACACACGCGCACACACACACACACACACACACACACACACACGCACGCACGCACGCATGCATGCATGCATGCACGCACGCACGCACGCGCACATATATATTTACACATTACTACAGATACTTAATTCACTAACATATTCCAATATGAACCCGCAGGGGAAACACAATTTGGTTTGTAAGGAATAATAGATAAGGCTATTTTGCAAAAAAAATCAAAAAATTGAGAAGCCAAGTTTGAAGTAGCTTTGTCTCGCTACGGTCGGCTTAAATTTTTACCCTTCCTTCTTTCATAAAATGGTGGTTAAAGAAAAGACAAGGCTGGTATTAATCCATATTAGATAAAATTATTACTATTTCACACATGAATTTAAACTGTGTTTTTCTTAGTGAACTGTTGTTTCAAAATTGGTTGAATCGTACGAGCGGCCAAGAATGAGATAGTTTAGAAAAACGCCTTTTTCATTTTTTTGCCGACGTTCCTTTATTCGGGTCATCTTCGGGCATAAAGTGTGGAGCTATTCTTGAGGTGACAGTGTTAAAGAATAGTACCACACTTTATGTGCTGAATAAGGACCCGAATAGAGGTCGAAACGTCGGAAAAATTGAAAAAGATGTTTTTCTAAACTATCTCATTCTTGACGGCTCCTCACGACTTCGACAAATTGATTTAAACAACATTTTAGTATATTTCCTCTCGGTGGAAAAGTCTGCCAAAAAAGTTAATCAGGTTGACCTTATGCCTAAGTTTTTCCAACCCTCTGGTTTAAATTAGCTAAAATATACACAAGATAATGAATTCAAGAATTATACAGCTTACAAAAGAATAAAAAAAGAATTTTAACTACAAATTTTTTGCTTTCAGATGGCGAAGGTCGTCGACCTGGACGCCGTCAGCTCCCTACTGGAGCTGCATGCCCTCGGTATGAAGAGGACATACCAGGAGATGAGGAACATCCAGCTTCCCACTCCTCAACCCTCGGATTCGGAGAGCGAAGAGCTCGACTGCCCTGAGGGAAAGAGGATCAAGACAGATTTCGAAAAACACGACCTGGCAATGGTAAGCACGTCGATATTATTTTGTTTAAATTACAATTTGATATGAGGTTCGATTTCTAATGATTCTAATACTCAAGACCAAAACTTTTGAAATTGTTATTCTCTTGGGCCAAATACGATGAAATAGCATCTTGAAGAAGAATAGTGATGAGGCTCCATTAAAATTATGCAAAAAGTAGTGCAGTTTGAAAATAAAAATTTACCTATCAATTGTAAGAAAAAAGTCTAAATAGGGAATTAATTGCACATATTTGGCGTACACAATTATATATGTTGTCTAATCCTAGTCGTATAAGCTAAATCTTTGTTAATTTTTTTCTCTATTATTTATTTTGCTGGCATATTTGAATAGCTGTTGATCCAAGAAATAATATTTTGGTGAAATTAGTAATTTTTGGTTGGTGCAAGTTCACAACTTCATTTTGAAGGTTGTCATTTATACGATAGTTGTTACATGTGGATAATCATTAATAATTGCCGGGTTTTTTATGTGTGCATTTAAAGCGATAGCGGCAGAACGAGATAATATATCAATGAGTGATTCATTCGATTTATTTTTTTAGAATTTTTTCTTAGTAGGGTATATCTTGCGCGCATTAACTTGTATAGGTCGTGGCACTGTCGATAAGGAACGATTTGTACAATTTTTTTTGTCATTACAAAAATGCATCTTTAGAGATTTTATTCGTTTATGTTTGTTTTAATTGACTAATCTTTCAAGAGGTTTTAATGTAAATGTTGTTTTTTGTTTTTCAGAATTTTCTGAACAGTACACCTCCTAGGACTCCGAGCCCTCCTCAGGTCACGTCTGTTCCAGTGTCCGTGATAATGAAAGTGAACAAGGACGGATCCTGCTGCGCGGATCCTTACGGAGGCTCGCTCAAGAAAGAGGAGCCGAAGCGAAGGTTCGTCTCGTCTCAGAACATACTCAAAGTGATAAAGTACAAAATGAACAACAAGAAGGACGAACTGGAGTCACAGTGCAAAGAGGTTATCAAGGAGGAGAAGAAAACCAGCAAACCCAAGGAGATCGCGATAGCCCCGAAGCCGCAAACGACCGTCGTCCTCACAGGCGGACGGCTCATACCCATCCGCCCGTCCGACCTAGTCATCGTCGCGCCTCCTCCCATGCCTGCAGAACCTGCAGACCCGAGAAGGAGGATCTTCCAATGCGAGCACGAAGGATGCGGTAAAAACTATTTCAAGTCCTCCCATCTCAAGGCCCACACACGATCTCATACCGGTAAGCATTAAATTTGTCCAAATTAAAAAAATAATCTTTTTCCTTGATTTTTGTTTCTTATGACTGATTTTTTGTTTCATCAGGTGAAAAACCGTTTATCTGCCCTTGGAAAAACTGCGAACGGCGATTTTCGAGATCGGACGAGCTGTCGAGGCACAGGAGAACGCACACGGGCGAAAAGAAATTCGCCTGCACCTTCTGCGACCAGAGGTTCATGCGTTCAGACCACCTCGCGAAGCATGTTAAGACGCACAACAAGACCACTTTCAAAACTCCCTCGGTTCCTCTGAGCGTCGTCTTGACGTCTTTGTAAATGCCGACTAAAAGTGCCTTCGACGTACCTGAATCTGTGATATCGACTGAATTACAATTTTTTTTTGTAAATACCCAAGCGTGTGATATGAACTGATTTTTCTTCATGATATCCTACCAAAGTTTAGAATTTACGTTCTTTATACAATTGTTTGTGAATTTTATTTCGATATGTTCAACTTTACAATTATATGTATATTTTTTACTTAACAGTAGTTTATATATTTATTAGAATTTTTAAATAACAAAAATCAAATATAAATTATTTATCTATACTTTGTTTTATTTGATTTCATCACAACCAGTAACGAACTCATTTCTTTCATAGCAAAACAATTGGGAAATTTAACACATCAAGGCTCATTTGGAAACTCCGAAGTTCGAACATCGTGACTTCTGAAACTGAAAAACTGAATATTCGAAAATATTTGACCAAATATTATTTTCATATCGATCCACCCATAAAATTATCTCTTGAAACTTAGTTACAATAAAAATTTCAATTATTTAAACGTAGATGATAATGACCCACGCCCAGTAAAATTTGAATACACTTTTTTAACCTGAATATAAAAAATTTGTAACTTTTGAACAGTATATCCACAAACGAATGAGATAAATGATACATTGCAATTTTAGCTTGCTACGTATGATAAGTAAAGTTGCTTCACACTACTAAGTCAATCAATCTCTCAAGATTTCAATCCAGTAAGAATGTTTTGGAGAAGTGGTTTGAGGTGAATGTTTAAATTTTTATGGAAGTTTGCATAATTTTCATGATGAAAATCAAAGAATGATCAGTTTGTTAATGAGATGTAAATTAGATCTAAGGTGAAGTGACCTAAGTAGTTTGTAGCGTCGGGTAGTTTCATGTCTTTTCAGTCGTGTAGGGAATTTAAGGTTAGTCTGTTTATCATCCTAGGTCACAAGTTCATCGGTTGTTGGAAAATGTTTTCCATTCCTCTGTACGACAAGTGGATTTTTGGAGATTAACGGTGATGTGGGTGGATTTAATTACGTTCATTTTTATTCTACATTTGCGAGGTCAACAAAGGGAAAGGTTTAAATAGAATCGGATGTCTAGCTAGGGAGGATCAATATTAGATTGATGACAACTGCATCTTCTGCAAAAGAGCATATTATTAGGGAGAACAGAAATGTCGGCTGCCTATTTTGAACAGGAAGGGCCCTAAGATGCTACCCTGGAGATACCCACTGTAATGAGAACATGAGAGGAAAAGGAAGTCTCCTAAGAAACAGGGTAGTACCGTTCTGTTACATAGGAGTAAATTTTTAAAAGGTATGTGAAAGGAAGGAAGCTTGATCGATACTATTGGGGGCTACCAAAATTGAACCAATAAAAAAACATTTCCAGCCATTGATTTTGAGAAAAAGGAGTCTGACAATATGTTTCAGACACCCTATGTACATTTCAATTGCTTGCTGATTTCATTTAGGAGAACTCAAGAAATAATAAACAATAAAACTTTGAGAAATTCGTAGAAGTGAGTCACTAAGTTGTAGTCATAGCTTAAGTCGGGTCATTGGTCTTCCATGACCTCCAGCATTGAACATCGCGTGATTTTGGCCATTTAGTTGCATAATCGAGTTTTCCAATTTTTCCCTCGATTTTAACTGTATGGATTAATTCATACTAACAAGTTTGATTTTAGTAAGTAGGCCTTTTTACAATTATTTATTTGAATGCAGATTTATTTTCTGTATATGTAAAAAGATATACAATTCTGGTGTACATGTCTTGTAATTTGTTTTCGAGTTCACAAATATTAAATTAACAACAAGGATGTTTTTCTCGAAATATAAACTGGTAGTATCAATCTTTTGTGAAATGATTTAACCACATACTAATATGATATCTTAAACACACCATCTTGCAGGTGATATCAGTTCCAACTAAAAAGATGCGTAATACAGATTTTAAAGAAAAAAAAACCAACATGTAAGTTTCGAGGTAAAAACTTCAAAAAACCAGCTTTATTTTATTGTGAAATGTCTAGCCTACTAGAAGGTGAGCCATCGATCGGACTAACAGTAGTAATCCGGAGGAGCGAGGTCGGGGGTATTTGCTAGACGATGAGCATACATCATAGCAGCATGATGTTTTGTGGAAAAACATTTCTGAACATACTTGGTAGTTTTAAGCTAGAAAATCATTTCAGCTAAAGTGTTTATATTGTCAAAAAACAAAAGTCTTATAACAGCTGATTTTTTGTGTACACATATGAAAAATGCTTGATTTTAAAGCATGGGTGCAGCACGAAACGCAGCGTGATTGGGCAGACCAAAGAAAGTGGCAACGATGAAATTTCAGGATCATCACGCCGAAGACAACAAAAGGAGATTTCACGAAAACAGTGCTGGTCGATCCGTGGTTCCAGGATGCTCTGGAAAGTTGAGAGAATCCTAGTTTTCACCAACTACTTGATCCTCAAATCGTAATTAAGATAGAACCTTTTCAAGTCATCAGTGGTTATTGTACACATGCTGGTGTACCCAAAGGAAGTATCTTTAGGTTGTATACACCCTTTCTCTTCTCACTGCTCTTACTGCGGATGATACCGCCTTTGTTCACATAAAAATTCCGTCATCCGTGTCTGTATCTGACACACTGAAGATGGCGAAATGCCGAACACGTCGGACGACACCCAGAGAGGAGCCTATCGGCAGGTCAAAATAATCGATAACGAACAGGATTAGATATGGTTTAAACTATTATCTTCAATTATAGCATTTCATAAGGTTTTAAATTCAAAATTTTCTGTGGGTAGATAAAAAATTGTGACTTACAGTCTTTTGAAATCGTAAAATAAATTTATTTTTATGTTTTGTGTTCGATATTTTTATGTCTATGAATTTAATATGACACTGTGCAAATTATAAACCTTTTGTAAAGCAAATTTTTAAATTTGGTAATTGAAATTGCATATGTAAGACCTGTTGTTTAGTCATGTCAAATTGAAACACATATTTACAATCAAGTAGACGACATTTGATAAGGTTAAACAAGAAGTGTTATCTTCTAAACAGTAAATTAATTTTACTATTTATTATCACCAGGGACAAAAAAAAGATGTTAGCTTTACTCCCTATCTTTTGATTTTAGGAGTGTGTTTTTTCTTCTTTTGTTTTTTAATCTCTTTATCACTAGTCTTAAGACTAATGGACGACAAAGGTTATGGTCACACTTGTACTTTAATATGCTTGAATATGAATCATTGATCTATTTTAATTGTACCGAATTATCTGTATTGTATCTGTATCTGATTGATTTTATTATTAACGTATTTCTATAAAATAAAGCTTATCTGTGCTTAGTCTATTTTTGGTTAAGTGACGTCACTGGTCCGCCTATTCTCGCTTGACGCCCTTGAAGTCCAATTCGACACCATATTCTATTGACGTTTTAACATCCACTAACCTTCTATTTGCACGATAACTTTAAACATTTCATAAAATGTGTATAATGTATATTTTATACATTTCATCTTTAGTTTCGCACGATATAATTTCAGATTTATAGAAAAACTTGTTCAATATTAAAATACATTGAGGAACTTGTTTTTTGCCATGCTTGAAACATAAGCATTAAATCGATCTAATTTGTACATAAAGTCCAGCGGTGAATTGTATTATACACTCAATCTTCACTGTTTTCAAAAGAAAAGAATTCTCGTTTGTAAAACTTTAATTACTGCCATTTTTTACCTTCAAACAACTATGTTTCTTTAAGTGATTAAGTCTACTTATGCTTCTGCTTGAATTGGTTTCAATTTAGGATTGTTTTAATTCCTTCTCGTAGGTCTTTTGAACATTAACCTGCCTATTTAAACTTGGCAAACCCCACCGGGCACACCCTCTCATCTACGGCATCAAAAGCGAAAATAGACTTAAATTTTATCTTGCCAAATAAAATAACGAATTACAACAGACGAATTTTGTATTAAATTTGTTTATAACTGATAATCAAACGAAAGGCATAAATTTTAACGGTTCTTAACGACAGATAAAGAAAAAGCCTAAACTTTCTTCTATAACATTATCATATGTTTTTTTACACCTCTATCATAAATTAAAAAATTAGTAAATTAAATTAAACAATAAAAAAAATCAATAAGAATCATAATTTCGGAAAAACGTTTGAAGTATGTACTTGAATTTCTGCACGTTCACAACGCCAAAAGGGTCCGAGTGGACCTTTCTGATATAAAAAACGGCCAATATTTTCCTTTTTCTTAAAAAAGAGATAAATTTCAAACATAAGTAATGATAAGTAATGATAAGCAAATGTCATTGACATTCTAAAACTATCCTTACGACGTACGAGAACGATACCGCCTTTGTTCTCATAAAGGCCTGGCAACCGTGTGACTCACTGAAGATGGCGAAAAGCCGAAACCGATCCAGCAAGGGTAGAGAGACCGAAATGAACGGTACAACAAAATCTCAACCCGCAGACCACAGGAGAAAATGTTACGAAAGGAGCGCTGCTCTTTCATAAGACACTCGGCTGCTCTGGAAGCTCAAGAGAGCTCAATATGTTACCTATAACATGGTCCTAAAATCCTGCATAGCGGACAGACTCTTTCAAGTCATCGGGCCTATCGCACAGGTGCAGAGGTACGACAAGAAAATATCTTAGGACCCATCCTCTACGCAGTATACACTGCTGAAATACCTACCCTTTCAGAAACTATCCTTCTAAGCAAAAGATTATCTCAAATTATCTATTTCACAAACTAAATTATACATTTAAAAACCCATTGTAAACCTTTTGAAACTATGTTCTTGAGTTTCTGCAAGTTCACAACGCCGAAAATGATGTTTAAGTTTAATTTTTTTTCTTTTCTGTTTTGAAGATGCGATATGTTTCGTGCGAGTTACTCACACATAACGTAAAATTAATTTAATGAGGATTTAATCTTGATCTTAGATGCAGGGATACCCCAAGGACGTACCTTAGGACCCATCCTTTGCACTATATACATCGCGCCCATAGCTATCCTTAAATCGTGATATTTACAATACGATGTTGTATGCGGCCATTTTGGCCTACCGCCACCTTTGGTGTTATATTTTCCAATTTTTGAATGAAGTCTGGATGGTATGACATATAGCGAGTATAGGCAGACCAAAATGATCGGTAAAGACCAGGTTCCTACCCTTTCGGAAATTATACTTTCCAC